GGCTGAGGATCGGGCCGAGTTGTTGAAGCTGAAAGATCTTTTTAACTCAGGTTCTCGTGCCTCGGTTGCCTCGGACTCCCGTACTCGGGTGAGCGCTCCTGGTGCACGCCCCTCGCAGTCTTCCTCATCCACCGACATCGAGGCGTACCGATGGGTCCAAGATTGGACTACAACAATGGCAAGAGGGAACGGTATGATCATGGATACGGATGCTACACAGTTGATAGTGAACCTGAAGAGCCTTCTACCTGAGGAGATTCGTGTGCTCGTCGACAATCTTGGTACGCTGCAGTCCAATGGGAAAGTTGCGATGTACGGAAGTGTCCGCATTCGTTTCAAATGCAGTGACAGTCTCGACCTTTGGGATATCCAGAAGTGCTTCACTCGTTCATGGAATGACCTGGCATCCCGTGATCGGATCACTGCTTCTATGACCAAACTCCCCCGTGCGATGCGTTTCAGAGTCGAGGCCCCACCGTGGAAGAGGCCGCACATCACGGCGGTGGGGAGATGGCATGGGCTGTGACCTACAGAGCCGGTGCTTCAGCATATATCCACTGAAGGCTCCACAGGTTCTGGCAAATCGCGCAGTGAGATGTGGACCCACCCCCAGTACAACAATCGAATGCTCCTTGGTCAGTTTGCTGCAGGGGGTGAGTTTGGCGGCACAGGTCATTGGAAGGTTTTCGCCGAAACGTGGGAGGTCATGAGTACCCAACATGCGCTCGCCATTACGAAAGATGTGCTCGAACAGCACCTCCGCATTTCAAACGCAGTGACATCAGCAGGGGGGCAGGCGTCCTTGGGTGTCCGCCTCCTTCAATTTGCAGAAGGCAGGGGAGTCTGGTGCTGTTAATTCATTTAGTGTGGGTCGCCAACACACACTCCTGAGACGTGTCAGGGATATGGACTTGCATCGAGATGTATCAGGCGTGCAAGGATCAGAAAATATTCAGTGGGATTTCAGATTCGCGGAGGCTTTAGGCTTGCGTCGCAAGTCTTCGGATTGCGGGAAGGCCTCAGCGGTTTACGAACTCAAGGAGCTTATCGGGGCAACTAGTTCGGGGCAGAGGTGGGCCGCTATCTTCTTCGGAAGTACCTTAACTGTTAGTATGTACCTGCCATATTGCTCGTACACATCGGCGCTCGAGATTTTTGATAAGTCTTTTGGAGACTAGATCGTTCCTCAGACGCTATTATAGCACCTTTCTCTGGCACATCGACATGTGTGTCGTGTGCGACGCCGGTGTCGAGCTGTCGCCCAACTTGTGCGCAGGCCGAGACGGGGGCGCCTGCCCGCTCATCACTGGTGCCCACTTGCGCCCTGCTTCGCATTCTGGAGGTCAGGGAGGGGACGAGAGGGGCAGGAAGAAGAGGGAGAAGGACATGAGGGACAAGCTCGAGGATTGGATGATTGAGGAGAGCTTGCAGGCTGCCAATACTTTCGGTAATCGACAGATCGCCTGGGAGGGCTATTGCAAGTCCCCTGCAAAGGTGCTCGACATGGCTTTGTGCCCAGTTCTTTGTGGGTCGGTGCTTCGGGCGCGACCTTCTCACATAGTTTCAAGGCGCTATGCGACTCAGTGACCGTGCGCTCGTGCGTGACCAGGTGCAGGGTGCACCCCGGCCTAAACGTTATCGACCTCGCATCAGGTAGATTCTCAGAGGACGGGCTCCTCATTATGAACATACCAGCCCGTTTGCTGCCTTATGTGATGCTACCGCTCTCCGGCCCACTTTGGAGGCCTTGGAGGCGAACGTTCGCAGTTTGGCTTCTTCTATCCCGCTGGCTCCACAGGTTCGCTTGGGCCCCCAAAGCGCCCGAAAGAGTCGGTGGACCTCGAGGCGACCCTGAAGCTTCGGAGGGAGAAAAAGGATTCAGAGGAGTACCCAGTGTTGGGGAGGAGGAGGAATCGGCTTCGTCGTGAGTTTCGTCGTCGGGTCCGTGATTTCGAATATCCTGTTGTTCGCAGGGCCCAAGTTCAGAAATACGACAGTTTTCTATCGCGCGGTACCTGGACAGAAGATCGGGTGGAGATTGAAGCTGCGCTGGCCGATCATGCTCAGACGCATGCCGATGGGGGGGGAAGGAGGCGCACGCGCACGGCGATAGAGTCGCTTCGTCGTCGGGTTTGGAGGGAGGAGGTGACGCTCGGGGTGTTGGGCGGGGACCTCGGGGACCACTCTGGAGAAATGGCGGGGGCTACTCACCCATGTCGGTGATTTTGAAGGTTCGCTCGAGATTGAAGGCGGGCAAGGCCGCGGGGAAAGATGGCGTGTCAGTCGAGGTGATGGAAGAATTTCCCTGGGCGACTCCGTCAGTTTGCTAGAGTCTTTCAACGGTTGTTCGCAGGGGGGCGTCCAGCTCCGCAGTCTTGGAAGGGGGCTATCATTGCGCTGCTCCCGAAGTGCTGGAAATTGCGTGGCTTCATTGACGCGGGCCCAATGGAAGTGGAAGGTGTAGTGTGGTACAGTACTGCTGTCGTGTATATGTTGAATCCGTATGTTGACCCCATCCTCCGCAAGCTCTCCCTCTACGGCTTCCCTCATCTCGTTGCTGCTCGGAGGTGGCAGGTGCCATCAAGTATGTGGCGCAGCATTCTTGCGAATGGGGAAAGTGTCGGGCCCTCTATGTAGCTTCCCGTGACAGCCTGAAGGCCTTCCAGCACATGACCGTTCAGAAGAGAAACGTGGTGCTCGGTATCCTCGGGGCCCCTCCTGGTCTCCAACTGGCCCTCTTGGAACCTTTTCAGCGTGAGAGAGTTGCGTTCCTGTTTGATCGTATGGGGGTGGATGGGGTGTCTGTGGACGTGCGCGTGAGGGCGGGGGGCGACGGCAGTCCTGGGTCCCGGAACGCTATTGTGGCGGCCACGTGGCTGCTTGAGGTTCAAGAATGAGATGAAGCTGGGGCGGGGTGCACTGTGGTCGATCCAAACAGCACGACAAAACAGGCACTGACTAAATCACATAATATATGCTGCTAGCGTCTTCATTCTCGGCTCGGATCCAGACGTGCTCCAGAGGCAGATCGTGGACTTGGCTCAACACTTGCACGCGTGGGCTTTCAGCTGGAAAAGCGAACCGCTCGAGGTGATCGGTTTCGGTGCTGCAGCACCATATTTTTGAGCGACAATTGATGGTGGGGATGTTCCTTTCAGGCGGGTCAGCGCTCTGAGTGTTCTTGGTGGCATTTTATCTGGGGAGTTCCGTTCCACTCGGCATGCTGATGTTGAAAACCAGCGGCAGGCGTCGAGTTGTTTCTTGGTTGTCGTCTTCCTGGGCAACTCAGGTACTTCAGAGAACATGGCGTGCCCTTGGGCAAACGTTTCAAACGTCTCTGTAGCGTTGTACAAGTCGCTCTCCTCTACAATGCTGCAAGTTGTACGTGGGGTAAGGAGTTTGCTCGTAGGATGCATGTATTCGAGGGGAGTTGTTTGCTGCAGGTGGTTGGCGGCAGGATGCCGTTGTCCCAGCCGTGGGAAGTGCGGCGGCCGTTGCGACTGGAGTTTGTGCGCGGCCTTTTGCGCAAGTGTGGCTGCCAGTCGGCAGCCCCGAGAGCATTGCGCAGAATCTGGCTCCAGGGCAAGGGCGTTGCCGAGTATTGCGCATCAGACGGGGGTCCAGGATGCGGCGAGCCCGTCGGCGATAACAAAAGACGGCAGGTCAGTTTGCCCCGATTTGACTCCCGCCTGGGTGCGACGGCTTGGATGGACACGCGCCGCGCTCGCAGGTGTTGGCGTCAGGGGTGGGGGGAAGTCGCGCAGGAGATGGGGGGGGGGGGGGGGGGGCATATGAGGCGGCGTGGGGTGTGTGTGTGTGTGTGTGTGTGTGTGTGTGTGTGTGTGGTGTGTGTGTGTGTGCGCGTGTGTGTGTGTGTGTGTGTGTGTGTGTGGGGGGTCGCAGCGTAAACGGCGGCGTGTCGGCGGCATTGCTGCGGATGGACATGCTTGGCATTATCCTCTGTGCACTTTATACGGTCGGCGCTGGTGGCGGCGTCGGCAGTTTGGCTGGCCCCAGTTCTTGAGTTTCGCGGAGGCCTGGCTCGCGCAGGCCTCGCGCCCCAGAGCATGCACTTACTTCGTGGTGCGAGGTGGGGGAGGGGGAGGGCGCGAGGAGACGGGGTCGGTGGGTAACCTTTTATTACATTTTTTTGCCAAAGCAGGCTGCTGCTAAACTTGCGAAACGGCTGGCGGTGCGTTGCGAGAGGGAAACGGTTTGGGATGTCCGCTCGAGTGGTCTGGCGGTCGAGTACCGTGGGGTATCGTTATTGACTGCGCGCTGGGGGAATGGCAGGTGGAGGGTGGGCAGCAATGAATATCAGCAGAGAGTTGATCAGTTCATTGAGAGGAATGTTGATATTTCGCGCGCGGCCGAGTTCCTTGGAGGGGGCGATTTCTCGAGCAGATGAGGCGGCTCATTCTGCGCGCAGGGGCTGCGCTTTCGTCCGAAGTTGGGCCGCATTTCGCCCGTCGGGGAATCATTACTTCAACTTGGTCGCCCTCCGTGGTCGGTGCGGCGGTGGCGTTGACAAGCATGGTGTTTGCATTTGATATTGCCAGCGGGCCGCTCTGACCCCCTCCTCCTCGCGCCCCCCTTTAACTATCCTGAAACAGCCCTGCGGGCAAACTTCTCCGCCGAGCGTGACTCTTCCGTTTGGGGAGATGCGTGCGAGGCTACGCTCCTCCTGCCTGCTGACTGCGCGATAACCGACGCTGAACTCTCTGCTTTAGATGGCCTCTAAGAGGCCACCAGGCAACTGCTCTTGGGTCTCGGGTGGCCGCGTCTGACGTGGTGACGCTGCCCGCAAAAGCGCAGAGAGCGGGGGTGCGCCCCGGGCCGGGGAGCGGCTCGCGCACTGGGGTCAGGCGCGGGCCCTCGCCCCCCCGATGGCCGGCTGCCTGGGGCCCGCGCGCCGCGTCGACCTGATGTTCCTCAGATGGCCCAGGGCCCCCCTGTGGTCCCCCCCTCTTTGGGCCTTCTCCGTAGCCTTTGCCTTGTAGGCGCCTGGGCGTGTTCCGTGTTGCCCCTTTAGTCTGATAAATTATCCCTCCCTCGCCCTGTGCGACTCTCTCCCTGATCCATGTGTCCTCTGTGTTGAGACAGTGGTAAGCGGTGCTATGTCGGGGGCAACGTCGAGGGGGGCGATGGGGCTCAGCGAGGGCGGAGGCTCGGGCGCGCCGGGCGCCGCGAGAACGACCAAGACAAACGATTGGGAAGAAGTGGCAACTCCCCCGAAGCACGCGAGCGACGAAAGGGGCCCTCGACTTTGAGGAATCCAAGGCAGCGACCTCGTCATGGACAGGCTGGCGCCTGGGTTCGCGGGGGCGGATGCCAGCGGGCGACGGTTGGAGACAGGGCGACTGGGGCTGGAGTGAGTGCAAGGGGACGGGCCCAGAGTGGACGCCCTCGGAGTCGACCTCCAATCGCGACCGCGGCGCCCCGCCAGCCTGGTTGGGTTTCGAGCACTTCGATGTGTATCTTGAATATATATATATATATATATGTGTATGTGTGTATGTATGGATGTATGTATCTATGTATGTATGTAGGTAGGTATATCTATATATCTGTGTATATATTTATGTATATGTATATATAGGCATGGGCCAGGCGTGCGGGGTCAGGCCAGACGCGCAGGCGGGCAGGATTCTAGAAGCTTTCTCGGACGATATGCAAAGTTCAAGACCTTAAGAGTCGAGCTGATTGGAGAGGACGGAGTGACCAGATTGCTACAGCACCTGGCGTACTTGAGCGGAGAGAGGCCTGGAGATAAGGAACGACTCGCCCACGGCGGTGCTTTTCGACTACGTGATGCGAAAGACGGAGACTCTCACCGAGTACGTGATCAGGCGCGACGCGCAGTTGTTGGAGGCCGAACGCCATGACCTGACTCTTCCAGACAGCGTGGAGGCTAGATACCTGGGGGAGGGTGCGTCTCCATCGGCTCAGAATTTGATCAACTTGAAGACGTTGGCGAGAGGTCGAGAGGACAGCGCATCGATAAGGGCAGCCCTCCTGAATATGGACGTGAAGGACAAGCCGATCCTGCCGACCCCCCACGTGCCGGTGCAGTAGACGTTTCAGGCTGAGCTCGACGAACAGGTGCCGGACCCTCCTCCTCGGTTCCGTCCGGAGGCGAGCGACGATGGGGGGAGCGGCTACGTGACCGACATCGACGACTCCGTCGAGCTTCCCGAGGAGGATGTGGACACGTTCTTGGCCGCGCTCGACGAGCAGGACATCGGCGATAATTAGGTCATGATGATTTTCGCCGCCGTGGTCGAGGGCCGTCTCGGGAAGCCGCGTCGTCGTTCCGGGGCAGAGGCTCGCCGCGTGAAAGCCGCCAAGAAGGTCGGCCGATGTTTCTTCGACAAGCGCAGGGCTGCCAAGCCAGGGCTCAAGAGGATGATGATGTCGGATGTCAAGAAACGCGCCAGGTGTGCGCATTGCGGTAAGCGAGGACACTGGGCTGAAACGCGCAAGAATGAGCTTCGATCCGAAGCGGC